TTTGAAGCTGCTTGGTTGTACCCACCATCACTCAGCTAGCAGACCCTAGACAGGGACAGGAGTCGGGCTGGTGCAGGGCTGAGGCCTTGAATGTGAATTGTGAGCCCTGCTTCCTGGTCCTCATGGGTTCTTGGCACCTTCAGCTGAAGCGTCTCCCTCATGCCCTGAAGCAGCCTTTGGCTTCCTGCCCCCACACTCCCATCCACTCTCAGTTTTTACTTTTGTGTTGCTCAGAGGCCTTTCAGTTGCCCTTTGAGTGAGCTGAAATGATCGCCTGCTGCTTGCTGGGAGGGGACTGTGGTTGCGGGGTGGGTTGGGAGCATGCTCATCTGGCCACCACCTGTCCCTGCAGGTGGCTTCTTGGGGGAAGCCAGATTTCCCTTTTCTCCCCATTGCTGTTCTCCACTTCAGAGAACATTCTGCTTGAAAGGAGAAAGCCCTCAGAGGTGTGCCTTCCCCTCCTAGCCACTAGACAGCTCCATCTGTCTCTTGCTGGCTTTCATGCAAAGACCCTTTCCACCCAGACCTCCCTAGAGCTGCAGCTGAGCCCCCAGTGAGCTCAGCCCCCTACAAGGGCAGCATAGACTGACTCCTTGAGGGTGTGGGCTTCTTGAAAGTGCATGCTATTTACCCCTTCATGCCCTGACCAACACCTAGCAAATACTCAGAAGTAGTGTTTATACTTTTAATATAACTACTGGTAATATCTTCATTTAAAATTGGACTTCTAGGTTAAAAACCTTCTGTGCTTCAAAGAATACTATGAAGAAAGTGAAAAACAGCCCTCAGAAAAAGGAGATATTTGCCAATCCTATATCTGATAATGGTCTAGTGTATCCAGAATATAAAAGAACTTATAATATTCAGCAATACAAAGACAATCCAGTTATAAAATGGATAAAGGATTTGAACAGCATTTCTCCAAAGAAATAAGCAAATGACCAATAAGTACATGAAAAGATCCCCATTACCATTAGACTCAGGGAAATGCAAATCCAAAACAATGAGATACTACTTCATACCCACTAGGATGACTATAATCAGTAAGACAATAACAAATGTTGACAAAAATATGAAAAATTGGTTGGGCTTGGTGGTGCAAGCCTGAGATTCCAGCTATTCAGGAGGCAGAGAAAGGAGGATTGCAGTTCGAGGACAGCCTAGGAAAAATGCAATGAAGCCTATTTCAACCAATAAGCCACCATGATGGCACATGTCTATAATCTCTGTAATCCCAGTTACTGGGGAGGCAGAGGATCACAGTCTGAAACCAGCCCAGGCAAAAAACCAGAGATCCTATCTAAAAACAAACTAAAGCAAAAAAGGGCTGGGAGCATGGCTCAAGTGGTCGAGCACTTGCCTAGCAAGCACAAGGCCCTGAGTTCAATCCCAAGTACTGCCCCTCCCCAAAAAAAGTGGAAAAATTGGACCTGTGAGACATTTGCTGGTGGGAATGTGAAATAATGCAGACACTTTCAAAAACAGTTCAGTATTTCTAGAAAAGTTAAACACAGGGTTTTGTTTGTTTGTTGGTTGGTTGGTTTGTGTGGTATTGGGATCAAACCAGGACCTCATGCATGCTAGGCAGGTATTCTGTCACTGTGCTATGTCCCCAGCCCAGCACAGGGTTTTATATGACTTAGCAATTCCATGCCTGAGTACATCCCAAGAGATTTGGAAACACGTCTACATAAGAACTTGGACATGATGTTCATAGCATTGTAGCCAACATTGGGAACAACTCAAATGTCCATTACTGATAGATCAATAAAACATGGTATATCCATGTAGTTGAATAAGGAATGAAGTACTGATACATCTTATAGCATAGATAAACCTTGAAAACAGGCTGAGTGAGAGAAACCAGACACAAAAGGTCACATGGTGCATGACTCCATTCATATGAAATGTGCAGAACAGGCAAATCTGTAGAAGCAGAAAGCAGATGACTGACTGCAGTCACTCCCAATTCCCTTCTCTTCCAGCCCCTGTGACCATTAATATACAGTGTTTCTTTTGGGAGTGATGGAAAGGCCTAAAATTAGACAGTGGTGAAGGTTGCACAATTCTCTGAATAAGCATTAAACTCTATAATTTAAATGGGTGAATTTTATGATATGTGAATGCAGCTCATTAATTTTTTAAATTTAATTTTCTAAAGAATTAACATTTACTGTTTGCACTAAATTCAAAATAAAAGAGTTAAATATTTATCCATAACCCAACACTAACTAACACAAACAGTTTTTCTGTATCCTTCTAGTCTTGTGTTTGGGAAAAAAAAGCACTTCTGTAATTTTGACATAATTATGATTAAATAACTTTTGCTTTTCCCAAGGACTTTGTGTACAGTTTGTGATGTATTCATCACATGTCTTTACTGTGCCCAGGCATAGTGCCAAGTGATGGAGACATAAGGATTGATAAAAATCCAGTCCTGTCCTCAAGGAGCATTGCCCCCAGTGTGAAGATCAGGAAGTATTATTTCATCTGACAGATGGGGAAACTGAGGCTCAGAGAGGTTAAGTGAAAGGTCTGAGGTGCCCCCGCCGGTTATGACAGAGCTGAGACTGAATGGAAGCTTTGGCTGCCAGGCCCAGATCTTTCCTAACGTAACCATGCTATTTCTTGTTGTTTTGGCCCGTGCTGGGATCTACCACAGGCCCTGAGCATAGGCTCAGCATGCCCTCTACCGCGGAACCCCACCAGCCCTTTTCCATGTTTTTATTGTTCTACAGTGGCACATTCTGTCCCGTAGCTCATCTCTGCAGAATCCCGGCCATGTAAGTTAGCTGGGAAGCCTAAGCCTGCCCTTCCCAGTCACCCCTAGACATAACTGTGATGGAGCCAGAATTTAAACACAAGATTACATAGCTATAAGTTCACTGAAGTTTGGTTAGAAAACAAGAAGAATCCGCAATGAAGAATATCCAAATAGTATCTTCTCTATGCTGTGTCTTTATTTGTCATAATGTGCAGAAGGAATCTATAGATACACACATTGGTGCGTGCGCACTGTATTTGAACGCGCATTGAACGACAGGCCAAGGGTTACATTTTAGGGGCACTCTGTAGGATTGTCCCCTAAAGGTGTCTTCTGTTTGGCACTGCCTAGGTCATCAAGAAGAAACTGGTGGGATCCGTGAAGGCACTGCAGAAGCAGTCTGTGTCCCTGGACACAGTGGTCACTAGTGAAGACGGAGATGCCAACACCATGTGCAGTGCCTTGGAGGCCGTGTTTATTCACGGCCTGCATCCCAAACACATCCGTGCTGAGGCCGGAGGAAAAAGGAAGAAACACGCCTACCAGAAGCCTCTGCCTCAGCCTGTCTTCTGGCCCCTCCTGAAAGCTGTCACCACAAGTGAGATCAGCTGGAGAGGGTTTGGTTGGGGAAGGAGCTTCAGTGTGGGAACTTGGCTCTTTCCAGCTGTGCGGAAGACACCCTGTGCTGTAGTGTAGAGATAGTGAGATAGGCCCAGAGAATCTACTAGAAAGGTTTATCTCCAGACCAAGCTGCCCAGCAGCCACTAGACCTTTCAACCCTCAGCCTTCAGGCAAGAGCCTGTGGCTGCTTCCCACCCCAGGGCTTCTGACTTTTTTGACCGCACCTGAAGAGTGAGGCACTTATAAGAGCTTATGTGGCCTTCAAAGCCTAAAATACTTACTCTGTGACCTTTACAGAAAAAGTTTACTGAAACTGCCTTTGAATATTTGAACATCTGTGTCCTATTACATTCATTACGAGGCTTGGGGATTTTATCAAAGAGTGGAATCCAGGTGGAATATCTGAATTTCACCTGGGGACCCTGTCTTTGGCCTTGCCCCTAATTGCCTGGGCTTTTGAGTAAGTAGCTGTCACTGCACCTCTAAGGAATATTAAATGCCACCTTCATTTAGGCACTGAGCAAAGGTGCCTTGTCAGCCTCTGATCTGTATTTCCATGCCTGCTGACACTCTCCTAGGTCAGGTTCTTACCCCTTTCCTGGGTGACATTGGCTTTCTAATTGTCCTCCTACCTTACTCTGTGTTTTCTTAGGCCAGTCAGCTGGTAGCATGTACTTAGCTGAAGCTAGCTGGAACTCAGCCACACTGTCCAGGGGAGTGTGGTCTGCACTTCCACACAGGAGGCATGCACAGGGCACTGTGGTAGCACAGATGAGGGGCATTTATGTCAGACGGCAGCATCTGGGACCTGAGTTTGGTACACCCAAGGTCTGATCTCCTTACCCAGAGCAGTCCACCCTATAGTGTACATAGCTGTGGCCAGGTCACTTTCCCGTGCAGAAATCTTTAGCTCCCATATGCAACCCTGGAGTCTGATTCACTAAGTTGGGGCCCCTGCATCTGTACCTGATAAGTTCTCCAGGGGCTTCTGCTGCACTTCCGTGTTGGGAACCTTTGCTGCATGTGCCCTTAACAGTTTAATATTCAAGACCCTCCATTACCTGGCCTTGCAATCTAATCAGCCACTCTCCCTTCACTGTTGTAATTGGAGTGTTTTCACTCCTGTTACAGGCCTGTTGCTTCTCTACCCTTTATGCCTTTTTCCTTTCAGAACATTGTGCCTAGAAGGTTCTTCGTCTTTGCCTCTGGAAAGCCTTCAGGGCCCCAGCTCAGCTGCTGACCTTTCTATGGCATTTTTCTTACTCTAAGGCAGAAATGATGGCCCAAACTCCCACACCAGCTCCACCAAAAGAAGGGCTCCATGACAGTTACTTGGGGCTGGGGGTATAGCTCAGTTGTAGAGTACTGCCTAGCATGCATAAGGCCCTGGGTTTTGGTTTTAGTTTTTAAATCAGAGCACTATTGAGCACTTAGTGAGTCTCATGCACACCTCGTTTCTTTGCCCTGTCTTCCATCAGTTCACAAGTCACTTCATTCATTCATTCTTTATTCTTCCAGAGTTTCTTTATACAAATGTAAACTAGTATGAATAGATATCCGGTGACTTGATTTTCTGTGTCTGTCCCACAAAACACTGTCCTGTGCCTTGGTTACTTTTTGCCTTTTTTTTTTTGGTGGTACTGGGTTTGAACTCAGGACCTCACACTTGCTAGGCAGGTACTCTTAACTACTAGAGCCGCTCCACCAGCCCAGCTTTTTGCCTTTTGATGAACAATGTACCTCAGGGATTGCATGTAGAGAGGATTCTTCTTCCTTACAGATACATGGTTTTCCATTGTAGGAAGGTAGCATAATGCATTTAACCAGTCTCCTGTTGGTGAACACTTGGACCATGTTTCATCTTTTCCTAATTCCAACAGTGCTATAATGAATTAGCTTTTGTTTGTGTGCAAGTATATATAGGGAAAATTCCAGAAGGCTTTCTGGGTCAAAGGGTAAAGGGTAGGTATTGCCAAATTGCCATCCATGAAGTGTAAACCAATTTGCTCTCCCACCAATACAAATGAGTGCCTATTTGCCCACAGCTTTGCCAGCTGAGTGTTGCCAAGTTTCACTTTCTGCCAATCTGATAGTAAAATACATAGTTTGTCTTAAAGTGGCTTGCATTTGCATTTCTCTTTCCAGATATTTAAGGGTTGTTGGTTTCTCTTTATCTTAAATAGTCTATTCATGTCTTTAGCCCATTCCTACTGAGTTATTTGTCTTTTTTTAATACATTTTTTTATTAGGATATATTTGTTATACAGGGGGGATTAATAGTGACACTTCTGATTAGGCTTGCATTGTAATTAGTTACATCATCCCTCATCTCTCCCCCTCAACCTTCCCTATCCTACTTAAAGCAATTGCAAGCTGTTTCTTTGTTCTATTTCATATATGAAGTCTGTCAAACATATTCCCTTACTTTAATCTCCTTGTTAGCCTTCCTCCCCTCCCACTAGTAACCCCCACACACACCTGTACCTATTTTACAGTCCCATCTTTTGTTATTAATATATTTGTCTTTTCTTATTGATGTCTAGGAGCTTTTTCTATATTAGGGAAAAAGCTCTATTACATGAGTTGTGATTACTCCTCTCCTTTTTTGCAGCTGGTTCTCACTATGTTGCCCAGGCTGACCTCAAACTCCTGGACTCAAGCAATCCTGCTGTCCAGCTTCCTGAGTAGCTGGGACTACAGGTGCCAAGCCAAGAGTGTCTTTGGAGTTTGCTAATAGTTTTATTTTACTGCACAAGTTTTCTTTATTTTTTAAATATATTTTTATTTGACACAGGAAATATAATATTTGTGGGGCACAGTGACCTCTCCAGATGTGTGTGAAATGCAGAATAATCAAGGTAGTTGACATATCTATCCCCACAGATGTTTATCATTTCTTTGTGTTGGGAACATTCAAAGTCCTCTGTACTAGCTATTTTACATATTTACTCCATTGCTGTCAAACATAGTTCTCCAGTGCTATGAATTTAGAAGTTATTCCTCCTACCCAGCCTCACCCCCATACCCATGAGCCGTCCTCTCTCCACACTCTCCATCACTCCTCCCCTACACCCTTCCTAGGCTCTGGTAACTGCCATTCTATGCTCTTTCTTTGAGAACAACTTTTCAGTTTGCACATATCAACGAGAACACAGAGTATCTGTTCTGTGCCTGATTTATTTCACTTAACATAGTGTCCTCCAGTTCCATCCATGAGATGAAGAATGACAGGATTAGTATCCCGTTGTGTGGGTACACGCTCTTTCTCATCCATCAGTGGACACCTAGAGCTGCACTAAGCCTTCGAGTGACGATGTCTCTCCACCCTACTGATTTCATTCCCTTGGGTGTTTACCCATAGTGGGGCTCTGGAGACATGGCAGTTTTATTTGGAGCTCTTTGAGGAACTTTCAGACCATTTTGCATAACAGCTGCCTCAGTTTACATTCCCACTAACACTGTGTGGGATTTCCCTTTCTCCACATCCTCCCAGCATTGTTACTTTTTTTGTCTTATAAATGTTCTTGCCAGGCATGGTAGCCTGCGCTTATAGAGTAAGGTACGCTTAGGAAGCTGAGGCAGGAGGATTGAAAGTTCGAGGCCAGGCTAGGTAACTTAGGGAGACCCTGTTTAAAATAAAAAATTTAAAAAGGCTAGAGGGAGCTTGGTAGTGGAGTGCTTCTTTAGCATGCACAAAGCTCTGGGTTTAATCCCCAGTACAACACACACAAAAGAGTTATGTAATGTATCAGTTATTTTATAGCTTTTCAATTTTGAGTCTTTGTTATAGACTCAGTTGAATTGTTACAAGTCAACTAAGTCTTTGTCTTAGTCTGTCTCTACATACACACAGTCATGAGAACACATTCTGAAAAATGCACCATTAGGTGATTTGTTGTCATGTGAACATCCTGCAGTGTACTCACGTAAACCTACGTGGTGCAGCTCACACCGTTTGATGTGGTCTGCATGGAGTCATAGCAACCAATGTGTGAAGCAGCTGCTGGTGTAACGCACACACTTTCACAGTAAACTTTTTTTTTTTTTGGTGAGACTGGATTTTGAACTCAGAGCTTTACACTTGCAAAGCAGGTATTCTACTACTTGAGTCACACCTCCAGACCATTTTGCTCTGATTATTTTGGAGATGGGCGTCTCAAACTATTTGCTTGGGCTGTCCTTGAACCACAATCCTCCCAATCTCAGCCTCCTAAGTAGCTAGGATTACAGGTGTGAACCACTGGTGCCTGGCTAACCTATTTTTGTTTAAAGGAAAACACTCTGAAATATGGATAAAAAGTGCAGGTTAATAAATAAATAAACCATTAACACAATTATTAATTATTGTTATCAAGTATTATGTACTTTACATAGCTAATTATATGTGCTGTGCTTTTTTTGCCAGTGCTGGGATTTGAACTCAGGGCTTCATCCTTGCAAGGCAGGTACTCTATAGCTACAGCCATGCTTCCAGCCCTGAGTGCTATACTTTTATATAACTGGTGACACAATAGGTTTATTTACACAGCATTGCCCCAAATGTATGAGTAATGTGTGGTACTCTGACTTTACCATGGCTGCAGTACTACAGTATCACTAAGTGATAAGAATTTTTCAGTTCCTTTATAACCTTGTGTGACCACCATCACATCTGTAGTCTGTCATTAACCAAACCCTCATTATGTGGTACATACTCTCTCTCTCTCTCTCTCTCTCTCTCTCTCTCTCTGGGTATGTGTGTGTGTGTGTGTGTAGAAATTTTTCCATTTTTTTCTTCCAGTGTTTTTATGGCTTCATTTTATTACATTTAACTCTTTAACCCTTTGAGGGTTTCTCATATGGACAGAGAGTCCTAGGCCCACCTTTATTTATTTTCCATCTAGATGGCGGCCACCTGTGCCATGATTTTTTACTGTCCGGTTCTTCTTTCCCCTGGGATTTGTGAGGGCGTCTTCAGCAGGGCCAGTCCAAGCTGCA